GACTGCAGTAATATGAGAAGAGTGATAGAGGAAGACAAGTGTGATGTGACTGGCTGATGACTGTGAATGTGGGAGGAGGTGTGTCTATGAGAAGATTCTGTGTGTGAAGTTTGAAGAGAGAGCACAGCCTGTGTGACTATGGGAATTTTTGAATCTATTCTGTGTGAATAAGACAAACAGTTTAGTCTGTGTGAATATGAGTTTTGAGTCTATTCTGTGTGAATAAGACAAAGAGTTCAGCCTGTGTGGCTATATATATGAGAGAGATTAGACTGTCTACGCCTGTCAGAGTGGAGTTTTGGGAGTCTGACTGTTTGTGACACCAAGCTTTGCCAGTTACATTTACAAGTTCCTTTCATCAGCAAAAGTTCAAAATAACTAGAAACCTATTTTGCTCTTTATTAAATAAATCATTTTTTGTTTAAACTTATCCCAGAAATCAGAATAGTCCTTCCTCGGGGCCACATAGTCCTCTGAAGTGCCCAGACCCTGGGTCATTCTACCAAAATAGAGATTTGGATTTTTTAATTCCTGGTGGCAGCAAAAATCTACCAAATTCATGTACACAGAATGTGTTTTAAAGGAGAAACAGTCTCCCCAATAAGCGAGGACGCCACATGCACTTCTACCAAGTCTATGCACCCACTGCCTGGGGTAATAGCTCATTACCACATAGCCAGGATTTTTATGAGAACACATTTGAGGAGAGAACTGCCGGCCGCCTCGCTAAAGTAGTTTGCAAACATTTGCTGCGTGTCCAGCCTGTAATGGATTCCTGGAATCCAGACCCAAACAGACAGAGCTGTTATCTAAAGTGCCCATCAGCTATCCAATTCCAGACACAAGATAACGCCTCCCCCCACTGTCTTCCCCCCAGACACACACACACACTTAATGTCATTTCCAGCCACTAATTCCAACCAAAGTCAACATAGAGAGGGGACAAAGAGAGCGAAGCAGTCGCTTTTGTTATCTCTGAAATTCAAGCGCCAGGTAGTAAAATGTGGTCCAAGGGGCACCCGTGACAAACGCACACATACACACACCTCTTCCCCTATCAATGTGCATATGCAACCATCACAACAAGCAAGGTGGGCAAGAGGACAACATATATTGCTCCTGTGGTGCCCCCTGCTGGCAACCAGAAGAGTTACAAGGAGGCAAATCCTGCGGAGCCAGACTGGTGTACTTGGGGTGGCCCTCCAGGTGGGGCCGGGTCTGGAGATCTCCTCCCCAGTTGGGATTTAAAGCAGCTTCGAACGTCATTCTCCCCTTCTGAATTTCCTCACAACAACCCTGTGAGGTAGGCCAGGCTGAGAGTTTGAGAGTAGAAGCCCAGCGTCCTAGTCCACCACTCTGTCTGCTACACCACACTGGCACAGATTCGCTGATTAAAACAGGGGCTAGCTGGGATCAGCTTGGTATAGTGGTTAAGAGCGAACTCTAATCTGGGACTACCGGGTTTGATTACCCACTCCTCCACATGCAGCTGCTGGTGTGACCTTGGGTCAGTGACAAGTTCTTTCAGAGCTGTTCTCTCAAGAGCAGTTCTCGGGAGACTTCTCTCTGCTCACAGGGTGTCTGTTGTGGGGAGGGGAAGGGAGAGGAGATTGTAAGCCACTCTGAGACTCCTTCGGGTAGTGAAAGGCGGGGTATAAATCCAACCCCTTCTTCTCTTCTTCTTCTGATCCCAAGATTGGGAGAAAAAAATCGAGGGTTGTCGATTCCCCTCCACCAGGTCAGTAGATATACTCATAGGTAACCTCATCTGCAGACAGGGCTGCTTGCTTTGTGTCATTCTTCCACTGCTGTTTGAACCAGGACTTTCAAAGGCCCTGAGTGAACAGCACACTGCTGGGCCCCTGACATTTTGGGGCGATTCAAACACCATGACCCAGTTTCTGGTGTCCCTTTGTGCATAACCGAGTTGCGGCCGGGAACCGGGAACCTAAATTTAGCCTCTTCCACACCTTTTGACCCTCTCCCCAGGTGTCAGTTATGAGTTAGCCTACTTAGACTATTGTCACTTCGCTGCAAAGGGATGACACAGCTGCCACCGATCAATGGATTTTTAGCTCGGAGGTGAACTCTTCACCGCCAGCTCGTCCCATCCAGCCGGCTTCAATCCCCTCCCCTCCCCGGCAAACGCCATTTAAAAATCTTTATTTGCCGGATGGAGAAGTGCGAGATGAAGGCAGTCATTGTCGCTCAGAGAGCGGGCCAGTTGGTCATCCGTAACCACCTCTGTGGGCTGAAAGAAATGGCAAGCGGATTTATATTGCACCCACTGAGACCTTAACTACAGGGAAAAAAGGGTTATCCGTGATGTCAGCGTTCATTGTGAGCCTCCATTAAAAACTTCACAGTACGTTTTTTTAAAAAATGGGAAAGCAATTCCATCGACATATGACGCTGGCTTTTCTTTTGATCGAGAAGCATTAGCTCGCTGAAAAAGCTACGAGGATCTATCGACGTCCATAAAAAGAATCTAAGAACATTCCCCAAAATGAATAGAGGCCGGCAGCCAAAAAAGCGAAAAGTTCATAAAGCAGGGTATGATCTCAGCACTCTCGGTGAGGGGGAGACCAATACGATGATTGTCTTCACCGCTGCAGAAAGCAGACATCCGAGACAAGACTGGCCGGCTAGCGACATTGTGGAGGAGGCAAAATTTGAACAGGGGACATAGCCAAGGCTCCCTCTAAGCTGTGGAGTCTTGTGAGCAAAAATTCTACTCTGTGAACTGCTGGCATTACAGTGGTGAGGGAGCGATTCGGCTGCTGCATAAATCCGGTTGCTCTGGAGCCCTCCTTCCTGAGCTAAGACGAATATGTGTGAGCTGGAGGATAAAAAAACTGTGAGCTAGCTCACACTAACTCACCTTAAGAGGGAACACCAGACATAGCACGTGAGACCTCACCGTTCTCGGCTGAGGCGGGAACAAAGTCTTATGCACCCATTAACCCAGGATGCCTGGAACTGAACCCAGGACTTTCTGCAAGCAAAGCACATGTCACCAATAGAGCCACCCTTCACCTATCATGTTGTGGAGCCTCTGATCCAAGAGGCATGGCCCAACGTCTTGTACTCCACAGCAGAGGATTCTGGGAATGCATGGACTCTAATCTGGGAGAACTGGGTTTGATTCCCCGCTCCTCCACATGCGGCTGCTGGTGTGACCTTGGGTCAATCATAAGTTCTTACAGAGCTGTTCTCTCAAGGGCAGTTCTCGAGAGAGCTCTCTCAGCCCCACCTACCTCACAGGGTGTCTGTTGTGGGGGAGGGGAAAGGGAAGGAGATTGTAAACTGCTCTGAGACTCTGTTAGGTAGCGAAGGGCAGGATATAAATCCAATCTCTTCTTCTTCCTCTTCTTCTGGGGCAGTGATTTGGAGTGGTCAGTTTTGGCCTGGAGAGGGCATCAATGCCCTCTTAGAACATGGCACGGACAGAAGCCAGGCCTCAACAAAACCTACCGTTCTAGCCAACCGAAACCACATCCTCCAAGTTACATAGTCCTCATTCATGGAAGTCAGCTGACCGCAACCAAAGACCTGTTATCTCATTTCCTTGTTTTCCATCCAATCGATCACTCGTGGCTACCTTTATTCCGATAACTGACTTGTCAACAACTTTTTCTTCTTCTTCTGGTGGCAGCTGCAGGGGATCTATCACGGCATCGTGGGCGGCCTTCCTCCACTCGGGAATCAATATTTGTTTGTGCCCATTATCATGTTGCCGCCGCGGCTGTCGGAGTCACGGGAACTTCTCGTCTCTTCTTAGTCACCCTTCCGCCGACCCAAAGCCCGACTCCCCTCCGTTCAAGAAGCTTCAAGGGCCCCACCAGTAGGAGGGATTCCAAAAATTCTCCTCATCCGAACTTCGCCTTGGGATTCTGGAGCGCCAGATGACCTGAGCCCTGACCCGGAGGGACCACGCTAGCCCAATCTCATCCGATCTCGGAAGCTAAGCAGGGTCAGCACAGATTAATCCTTGAATGGCACACCACCAAGGAAATGTAGGGTTGCTATGCAGAGGCAACCAATGGCAAACCACCTCTGAACATCTCTTATCTGGGCCTGGATGGCCCACGCTAGCCTTATCTCGTCAGATCTCAGAAGCTAAGCAGGGTCGGCTCTGATTCGTACTTGGATGGGAGACCACCAAGGAAGCCCAGGGTTGCTACGCAGAGGCAGGAAATGGCAAACTACCTCTCAGTGACCCTTGACTCGAAAACCCCACGACAGGGTCACCATAAATTGGTTGAGACCTGGAGGCATTTCTACCACGACTACCAATTTACCTGAGGTGGAATCCCATTTATTCCATTTTACTGGTAATCATACACCAATACATTCCTCCAGCACAAAGGGAAGAAAAACACAGGGGTTCCATGTTGGAAAACATGCCTTACATTGGAGTAACACCCAGCGCACAGGTAACACTAAGATCTTGCATCCGAAGTGGAATTAAACATTCCCTACAGTTCCACTCTTGATTCCCTCTCAATTTGATGTATCTAATTACTTAAAATATTTCTATCCCGCCTTACCTCCACAGACTCAAGGAAACTAAATTTTAGCTCACATTTGCTCACTTCATTTATACCCCCGCCTTTCTCTCCGATGGAGACCCAAAGCCGCTTATATCATTCTCTGCTCTGCCATTTTATCCTCACAACAACCCTGTGAGGTAGGTATGGCTGAGAGAGACAGTAAACTATCAAGAGAGAAAGAGAAAACCCTCCAAGCACGGGCAGAGGAAACCAACACGCAGCCCTCAGTCAACAATTGCTCAGAGATTAACCGTGCCATCTTAAACCAAGTTACACGCTCCTAAACCCATTCACTTTAGCGGACTTAAAAGGGCATAATTCTGCTTAGAATAGCTTTGTAAAACAGCTGCTTGGAACAAGGCCTGATAGGGGTAATTTCCTCAGCAATCTACAACCCTCCACCCCCACCCCCCAATTCCCAGGATCGTAAAAAGAGACCATGCGTACCAGATTCCAGAAAAGTGGGTTGAAGGCAATGAAGAATACAGCGACCCCGAAAATCGAGTCCGTCACGTCCACATAACTGAGGAGAAAAGCCATGGCCGAGAAATCAACCTGAAACAGGTAACCAGAGTCAGTCAGATGCCCAAATAATACAACCATTTGAATCCTCCATATATATTCACTTCTTCTGTAGTCCGTCTTTCTCACCTGGACCCTAGGGGGATTACAGAATTAGATAAAGATGCAATAAAAGCAATGCAATGCAAACCCGTTCTTGTGTATCTCAGAGACCACAAAAGAATAAAAAGTTCCGGTTACATTGTGAATTGTTTTTACCATTGGCATCTGCCAGATCTGTACCACAGAAGTCCCACTCGGCAGAGAATGCCATACTTCCAGTCGGGAAATTTACAAAATCACAGGACTACAAGACAAAACCAGCATCTTCAAGTAGGCCATGGGTGGGAAGAGGCTAGGAAGCAATCAGGATAGGCAGCCAGGAAGCAGTTGGGAAGCCAGGAAGCAGCCACCATACCTGCATGCAGTTCCAGCTAAAAATATTAGTGCTGAATTTTGTCATATACGTTTTTTTTGTTAATTTCCAGGAGCCAATTTTGGTTGGAAACCAAGATAAACAAATTTTTTTAAGAGCTTGACCAAGACATATTTGCTGACAGCGAAGTCTGAATACTAGATTGTTGAGGAACAAGACAGCAATTTTGGTGGAATTTCAATTTCTAGCTGTTAGCCACTGTTAAAAAAACAGGATATGATCAAGGTGGAACCTGACGCAGATCCAGCCGTGCTTGTCTTAGAAAGAGTCACATATGACAGATACATTCATTTAAAATATATATAGATTGACTCTCCCCACCCCCAAGTGATCTTCTCCAGGGAGAGGGCAGTCTATAAATCGAGTCAATCAAGAACTACTGGCCATGATAGTTTAACATAACTACCCTCAAAATCTCCCAGTATTTGCCAAGGCAACAATTATTTAGATAATTATACCTCGTTTTTGTTCCTGATGGAGACTCAGGCTGGCTTGAAACCGCATCCCTTCCTCCTCTATTATATTCTCAGAACAACAGCCCTGAGAGGTAGGTTCGCTGAGAGAGTGACTGGCCCATGGTCGCCCACTGAGCTTCCACAGCAAAGCAGGGATTCGAACCTGGGTCTCTCTGATCCTAGTCCAACGCTCTAACCCAAGGGTCCGCAACCTTTGAGAATGTAGGTACCTTTGGAATTCTGACAAAGGGCGGTAAGCACAACTACAAGATGGCTGCCACGGGAGGCGGAGCCAATGACAAAATGGCTGCTGCAGGAGGCAGCATCACACGTACAGATGAAGCACAGGTCCAGGGGAAAAGAGGCGTAATTTTAAAAATACACAGTCAACCAGACATCCAAAGCACTGCTGGGGCAAGAACCTGGCTCCTCCCCCTTTCCGAGAACACCTGGTGGGCACCAGAAAGTGTTCCGGCAGGCCCATGGGTGCCCACGGGCACCACGTTGGGGAACCCCTGCTCTAACCACTACACACCTTCCTCCCATAGCATCCCTGTTGGGCCTATTCCGAGTGGCACCTGAGGGACTGTTTCCCCCCCACTTTTCAGTACAAAAGACTGGTTTGTCAAGAGCTCCGACAGGCATCCTTGGCCGGCTAAAAAAACAACAACAAATCACAGTGACCGCATCATCGATAATAACAACAACTGTTCTCTTATGTCCTCTCCGAAGCTAACCTAGATCTTTACAGGCAGTAGATTGGATTGAAAACTCCGGGGGGGGGGGGGGGGTGTTGGATGTCATGCTAAGTACTGCATAAGAGAAGGCACTCACAGACTCTTCCCGAGTCTGGGCCTATATAACTGGGGAAGTGGACTATGTTTTTGTTTTTATTTTATTTTTTTTAAAAAAAAACTATTTTCTTTCCTCCGGGAAAGTCAGTTCTAAAACAAAATTTCGCAATCCATTTTTTTTTTTGCATTATTGATGGTATTTATCGAAAAAGAGGAGGAGGAAGAGATTGGATTTATACCCCGCCCTTCACTCGCCGTCTCAGAGCGGCTTACAAACTCCTTCCCCTTCCCCTCCCCACAACTGACACCCTGTGAGGTAGGCGGGGCTGAGAGAGCTCTTTCAAGAACTGCCCTTGAGAGAACAGCTCTGACAGAACTATGGCTTGCCCAAGGTCATCCAGCAGCTGCAAGTGGAGGAGCTGCAAACCCGGTTCTCCCAGATTAGAGTCTGTGCTCTTAACCACGACACGACATTTTGACTTCATTTATACCCTGGCCTGTCTCCCCAGTCGGGACCAAAGCGGCTTATCCCATTCTCCTGTCCTCCATTTTATCCTCACAACAAACCTGTGAGGTAGGTTAGGCTGAGACAGTACGACTGGCCCAAGGTCTCCCAGGGAGTTTCTGTGGCAGAGCGGAAATGTGAATCCGGTTCTCCCGGATCCTAATCTGAAACTCCAGCTGCCCAAATCCGAGCTACGAAAGAGTGCTGAGTGACCTTGGACCGGTCCCACAATCTCGGCCTATCCCACCTCACAGGGTTGTCATAAGACTAAAATGGAGGCGAGGAGATCAATATAAGCCGCTTTGGGTCCCTATTTGTGGAGAAATCAAATGACGGCTGATGATAAATTAAACAGGAACTAAGGAGTCAAACCCCCCTCCCGCACACACATACACTGCTGCTAAAAGCAGGGGTCCCAAACTTTTCGAAAGCAGGTGGGACCAGGAGACGCTTTCGGCCATTGAGGCTTCTGACTGGCCACTGGAGATTTGATTGGTTGCACGGATTTTTAAAAAACGCTGGTCTGGCAGCAGCTGCCACCACAGCACAAGGCTCTTCTCTGTGTGACTGAAAGTAGGCTGCGGAAGCCATTTTGTCTCTGTCTCCCCCTGCTACAGCAGCCATTTTGTGCCTGCGCCCACCACAGCTGTGTCAGGGCTCCAGAGCAAACTAATTGATGCAGCCGCCAAATCGCTCGCTCCCAACTTTCATGCCAGTCGCTCACAAAGTAGAATTTTTCCTCACAAGACTCCACGGCTTAGAGGGAGCCTTGACTGGGAGCCCTGCGCCAAAGGAACAAATTCGCAATGTAGAGTTTTCGTCTTCTCTGGATCGTCTTAACGCAGCCGCGGTGACCCCTGCAGAAGAGCGCATCGATCTGGAAGTGACTGGCGTGGTTCTTGGAACCCCGTAATGAGCACAGAACGCATCAGCTACGCTTCTTGAGAACGGACTTGGCCCGTTTGGAGAGCAGGTATACCAGCTTCTGCTACGGTGCTCGGTTCAAACTTCCCCGCAAGGGCTTGGGCGCCGCTTCCTCCTGAGCGAGATCTGTCGGGAAGGCCTTGTTCCAGGTGCCGCGAGCGTCAGAGCTCAGGTGGGCGGCAAGCAGAGAGGGGGGCCTTTCTCAGTATTCATCGGGAATTACCTCTCCGAAGCCGTTCACCTTGCACCAAGCTTATCTAGGCTTTAGGAGCCGAACAAAATCTTTGCGTCACACCGAGGTTTCGGCATGATGTTTTCTGGCCCGCTTTTATCCAACTGTTGTTCGCACAGTTTATATGTAACACTGGTATGCGCTCAGCACTCTGTCTGCCTTAACAGACTAACCTTAGGAGACTCAGTTAGCACTTATGACATACACAGACACACAGATATGTTAAGTGCCATTGATGATTCTAATCACAGTAACTGAAATCAATCATGAACATATATTCAGATATTCGGGTTGCGGTGGCTCAAGTGGTTAAGACGCTGAACTGCAGGCTGTGGAAGGTCAGTAGTTCAGCAGTTCGAGACCCAGGGTGCCGCAAGACGGAGTGAGCTCCCGTCTCTAGTTCCAGCTCCTGCCAACCTAGCAGTTCAAAAGCAAGAAATTGCAAGTAGATAAATAGGTACCACTTTGGTGGGAAGGTAACAGCGTTCCATGCGCCTTGGTCTTTAGTCATGCCGGCCACATGACTACGGAAACGTCTTCGGACAGCGCTGGCTCTTCGGCTTTGAAACGGAAATGAGCACTGCAACCCTAGAGTCGGATTCGACTGGCTTTCCAGCAAGGGAACCTTTACCTTTACCTTATTCAGATAATCACTTTGGTTCATTGCTTAAATGCATCCTGGGAAAAATACTAAATGCTGACAGGCAGTAACTGACCAGCTGTAACTACGCATGTTCCTGATGTCAGCTCACTTGCGTTAGATGGAGAATATACTGCACGGTGTACCCATATCTCTTACATTAAGATACTTTTTGTTAGCTTCACAGCCTGAAAAGAAGGCCTATTGCTTAGCTGGAGGAGGTATATTTTTGCCTGAGAAAATCCAGCCCATGGGTTGGAGCCCAATCAGAATGGTGTGACGGATATGTGACAAAGTTTGATGGAACCAACAGTTATGATTTATTTCTAACTGTCATAGGGGGTATAAAACCTTATGTCTCCCACTGTAACCTTAGGGAGAGCTGTGGGGTTCAAAATCTTGTTGAGCCCGTGCTTCCCTCCTTTATTAATAAAGTTTTATTTTAGTCCGGATTCCACTCTACAAGACTGCCGAGTGCTTTCTCAAATTGGGCTGGGGAAGCACAAACCGTGACGGAGTTTCTGTCTCACACTACCCACAGTGCCTTCCTCTGATTAACAAATGGTAGACACTAATGGTAGACACGGCCCTTCTTCACCCAAAGAGTAGTGCCTTCCTCACCCAAAGAGTAGTGCCTTCCTCACCCAAAGAGTAGTGCCTTCCTCACCCAGAGAGTAGTGCCTTCCTCACCCAGAGAGTAGTGCCTTCCTCACCCAGAGAGTAGTGCCTTCCTCTGATTAACTAATGGTAGACACTAATGGTAGACACGGTCTTTCTTCACCCAAAGAGTGATTAACACTTGGAATTCACTGCCACAGGAGGTGGTGGCGGCTACAAGCATGGACGGCTTCAAAAGGGAATTAGATAAGCATATGGAGCAGAGGTCCATCAGTGGCTATTAGCCACAAGGTATAGATAGGGGCTCTGGGGCAAGGGATGCTCTGTCTCCTTGGTGCTTGGGGGGGGGGGGTCAACAGGGGGATGGCTTCTAATGTCCTGGCCCCACTG